AAAAAAAAAAAAAGGCTCCGAATTTTTTCTTCAAACTTTTCGTGCTTATAGTGATAATTGCACTCTTTGAGATGACGTAAGATTCATTGTGCTGCTCATAATTTTGTTTTTTCAAAATTTACATGACTGTAATTTTTGAACAGGTCTTACGCTGTTAATATGCACATTTTCAGCATTTTTTAAACACTATTGGATTTGTGAATGGAAGTGTTTTAAATAACTTTCAATCACGTTTTTCGAAAACTCAAAAAACGTTTGTGAAAAAGAACTTTCAATTTCGCATTTACAAGTATGCTTAAACGCCATTTTCTTAAAAATGGCTGTACATTTTTCAGTGAAAATTACCATTTAGAACGAGGTTTTACTCTCGTTTAACATTCTTTAAGTAATATTTTGGTTTTATTATTAGGAAAACGAAAATGGAGAAAATATAAAAAGAAATGAGAAATATAGATGGCAGTTGGCGAAATCGGGGCAAGATCGTAAAGCCAATCCACATCAAGGAAATCAGAAAAGTTTACAATGAGAAAGTCTGTGCCATTCTGTTGTACCACTATTTTATACTATAACCCACCTGAATGACTTTTCCTCATCTTCTCCGAAATGTGTTTATCTAACTACCTAATTAGGCGCAAGGACACATGTAGGTTTCTGTGACGCTGTTGCCATGGTTCAAGGTTTTAAAAAATATTCCTAATTGTTCAACAGGTCCTCAGCTGGCGGGTATGATTATTGGATGAGGATAAACATTGTTTTTGATGTTTTATTTTATACTTGATTGGTTAATTTATTTAGGGAGGAAAGTCACATTGAGTCAACGTCAATTGCGGTTTATTTTCAGAATTGTGTTTAGAGAACGCGTTTTTTAATGTTTCTTTTGATTTTAATCCTTCCTCTGATTTTTGCTCAACGTCTACTCCTCTTGTGACTGTCTATTCGGACGCGTCCCAATGATTATTAAAAAATGCACCATAATAACTAAAATTGACATTTTTAATAAAGAGACGTCCAGTCGTAGGTGAAAGGGTGGAAGTGTAAAGAGTTATTTATTTCTAAAAATCCAGGGAACTGTGCTGTTATCAGACCTGTGAAGAGTAAATAAATCAACAAAGAAAATTTAGGAAAGATGTACACAGTCACTCAAACTCTAGATTAATGTAGTATATCGAAAATCTTTTATTAAATAAATGTTCGCATGCTTGGCAAAGACAATTTAATGTTTTATAAGCAACGGGCGATTACACAAACGTTTAGAAGATAACAGTATTAGGAATTTGGAAAAGAGAAAGATAATTGCATTTATTATTTTGATTTTATTTAGAAATTACTGCAATGAAGAAATTAAGGAAATCTTAAGACATACAAGCATTGGAATGTGAAAATGAGAGTTTGACAGATGACAAGAGATGTCCTTTGTTTCAAACTACGCGATGAAGAAGAATATGGCAACAATGCATATAGACAGACGGGTTTGCGATCTTGAGTGATAACATTGTGGCTGTAGTTGAATTTATTTTGTAGAAATTTGTTTTGAAGTTAGTCGATTTCGTAAAGTGACGCTCCTAGTAGGAGTATATTAATTCGCGAATGGTTCAATTGGGAATTTGAAGAAAAAATAAAAAAAATGGAAAAGATGGTAACTGCGACGAGAGGATGCAGATATTTGCAGCGGTCGGAGACGGTGCCATTACGGGGTCCAGCAAACACGGAGGTGACGTGATTTTACCAAATGATTTTGTAACAAGGGCAAGACTTGTAATTAATTTCGTATTATTTAGTAAATGGCTATTAGAATCAATTTTATTTTCAAAGGGAGTACACTCACGTGAATGAAATGAAGATTTAATGTGTATGAATGAGTAAATTTTGTTTGTTTTCTTTCAAGATATTTTGTTGCTATATTCAAAGCAATACCACATACTATCTAAGAGGTACGGTTCAAAGGGTAAATTTATACGTCGTGTTATGTTTTGGATGGTAGAAAGTTGGTGTATGTACGGCTGAGAACAGAATTCGCCGAGTAGCATTCGGAATATTGTTTACGAATAAATAATTGCTGATCATATTGACAGTATTGTTAAAAATCAGTGTATATATTTTTCTAGTAGGTAAAAACAACAATGACAGGAGAAAGAATAAATGAGAACCAGGCTCCCAAAACAATATATTTTGATTTCCTGTATAGGGGTGACTTAGTGAATTCTCACCAAAATTATAAATTTGTTCTGTAAGAGCATAAACTTCGCATTTTCATGATTTCGTCGAGATCACAGTGTAGACTTGGCGGTTAACTGAACAAATTTTTATTCGTATACAGAGTTTACCAACCAAGTGTGGGGTGAAATAGTTAAAAAAGTTAATTATTAGTACATTTTAATTCGCAGGTTTATGATTCATTACACTATGTTCAAATTGATTTCACGCAAATCTGGAAATTATGCTGACGACGTTAAATGCAACTACTTAATGAATCGCAACTCTTTCACACATTAAATCAGTCATTGATAGAAGTGCAAACTTTGTTTTATGATCCTAATTAGGATCGAAACGTTAAAAGTGAATTCATTATTTGAAAAAAATAATATGGTAGTATCTATCTAAAAAATATCAGAATACTATTAATATTTCTGCGATTTAATTAGCTCGTGTCGTGCCCGCAGGCATCATGGCGTGCCCCAAAATGCAGACGGCGGACGGCTTCGAGATGCAGATGGGCGTCAACCACTTGGGCCACTTCCTGCTCACGTGCCTGCTGCTGCCGCGCATCCGCGCCTCGGCGCCCGCCCGCATCGTCACCGTCTCCTCCCTCGCCCACGTGTGTGAGTGCGACGGCTCCCGACGCAGCTCCTTTACTTTACGACTGGATTACTTTCCTCCCGTTGTGCTACAATTGTAGAGCTTATTTCCTACAGTACGGGCAGCGTATAAGCGACTCTGACAGTTCGATGCGCTCTTGCCACTCAACATTACGCTCAAGGCACCACGTAAAAGACGGATAAATTGAATCAGAAAACATTAGCCTTTACTGACATGCGAAGCTATCATGTTCATAAACTTCACCACAGCCAAACCTTATCGCCTCCGCGCCTTCGTGTGAGGGAGATGAGCGGCAACGCGTAACGCTGGCTGTGAAATACGTAGTAAACAAATCCTCGCAAGCTGATTGCTTCAGAGCATGGCACATTACGTACCTCAGTACGTGGCGAGAGACCTGTCAAAGTCGCTTATACGCTGCTGGTCCTGTAAGTGACAGAACTCCGTAAAATAGTTTTTCAAAAAAGTAAAATATTGAATTTCAATGTGATAGGTCAGGGTTGTCAACTGGCGGTCCGGGGGCGCATGCGACCCGCGCTGCCATTTGTGGCCCGCCAGAGGTTATTAGTCAAACATGAAAGTCCCGTGCAACCGTGTCGGGTGAGAACATTGTGCCCCTTGCGCACGTGTCTTGCTGGGGGTCAGCACCCCCTTTAATGTACAAGTAGGAGAAATTAGATTTAAGGAGTTTTATTCTATTAAATTCAGAAATTAAACATTATCCCACTTTCATGCAATGCGATATGCATGGCACGGTCTGATATCGTGGATGGTTCCGTCTCCCCCCCCCTCGCTTCAGTGCAAGCGGATAAAGTGCGAGATCAACATTATAAGGAAGTCAGGTGTGGGTCGCCCGAGTAATGAAGAATATGGTCCGCAACCATACTAAAGGTTTGTGTTTTGGCCCTCGAGGCCTTGCAAGTTGGACACCCCTGTGATAGGTCGATAGAGTAGTCAACACCGACCTGGATGGCCGAGGTGGCTAGAGCGTGTGACGACTCAGCGCCTCAGTCTGAAGGGTCGCGGGTTTGAGTCCCGCCGTGAGCATGGTTTGTCCCTTTATCTTTCATGTATGTGTGTTGTAACGAAGGCCTTATGAGTCTGCTGACCACAGACCTAGGAGCCCGCAAGTGTGCCTATGACTAATATGAAGGTTAATGTGTCCCCATTAATTTAGTAATATTAACGGGACATAGAGGGTACCCGGCGCGGATGGTCGAAATCGGTATCCCTTGAAGCTGGAAAAAGCCCCAGGAAAAAAAGAAAAATATCGGTAGTTTTCAGACGCCTTTTAACTTAGGAGAAACGCTATTTTTGAACACAATTCTTGGCAGCGTGGTGAAGAAGCATCTTCATACGAAAAATTACAAAACAAACAGAAATGGTGATGCGTCACTTTGGAAATATTCAGTTCTTTCTCAGGGGTGGGTTAATGCAAAAGTTAACTCAATATTTTATAACTCGCCCTTTCAGTATTTTGGTTTTGGTGACCCCCAAGCGAAGGGAACATTGACTGGCCTCACCATCACTGAATGCAAGGATCTTTGTTTTTCATTGGTTCTGTTTGGTTAAGTCCAGGAAAAAATAACAATATTAGAAAGCAAATAAAAATATTGTAGAGGCAACAAGATATATCTAGAAAACCTTTCAGAACACACATCCATTAATTATTTTTAAATTAGAACAACCGATTCTCTGGCCTTCCAAAAACATTGGCGTTTCCTCCTAGGACCCACTGTATAATATGCGTGACATTGCACGCGCATCCTTCAAATTTGAACAATAGCTATTTATGCACCATGAGCGTTATAAGGTTTCAAATGATCGAGGGGCGACAAAAAGCTTGAGGAGCTCTTGGACTTTTTTGTCACCCGAGCTCATTAGAAACAGTTAACGCCCATGACACATAGAACATTTTATTTTTTACCTCATTTTAATGATTCACATTTACTAATTAACTATATGTTACCTTGACTCAGTAAGTCTTTTTATATTTCTCTCCTATAATTCCCTTTCATAATTCCTTCCGTAAGAGAACGTGTAGCATTATTCAACTGTTTTTACGTTTCCCTCGTAACCCCGATCCTGTCGATTCAGATAAGTTATGCAGTGTACTCTCATCCAGCTCCACATCGAAGGACAAGACTAGCGATAACGTATCAGTAAAATATAAACAATATTTTGCTCTCGTAGCTCACCGATAAGACGCACCATTGATGGTCCTAAATGGGCTCTGGACGCACTTTCACCTGCTCGACTGCGCACGTCACGTACATTGTTTCGTAATGTACCGCGTGCATTACGTCAATGGGAGACACAATTAATTATTCAATAATTTTCATGTCTAACACATAATTGCTTTAAATAAGCACAACGGAAAAACTAGGTAATTCAACTAGTAGAAGAAGCGAACTCTTATGTTCTTGCTCGTGTATCTTGAACTTATTTTGTGTTTGCGTTTTCCTGTATTAGTATGCGACTAGAATACAAGATTATTTTTCTAGATAATAGCTCCTGGGCCCAACCTTGCAGGGAGCAACCATCGGACGATGTAGTTCCTTTTCAAGAGCAATGATACAAGGGAAACGTTTATTTTCGCAAAATCTTCTCCACTAATATATAAAGCAAAACTTATATTAGTATCTGTTCGTATTTCTTCTAAAACACGGGAGTTAACGAGTTGATTTCAATGAGGTACTCTTAAGGCAGATTTTTTACAGCTAGTAAGTATCTTACAAATATTTGAGAAGGCCTAATCATTATTTTCCAAGTTGTCACAAATGGTGAACAGATCCAGTGTGGAGTGTCTCAACTCCGTGGGTATATTCACAGCCTTCTCGTGTGGCGAACATTTTGTTCTTGTGAGTTCGAATTTCGAATTGAGACGGTCATTTTTACACAGGATGTCCTTTAAATTTATGGCGATACAATTTTAGTGTCAATTTCTAGTATTTTTTGAGTTTCATTTAAATGAAAGTTGCTCAATCGTCCATACACATGAAAATACAATGCAGTTGTTTTCCATAGTACATCACACAGCTTTTAAGTGTTTTTAAAGTTAAATATAGAAACACTGCAGGGCATGGAAGGATGGGACGGGCCATTTTGGGATCCAGGCGAGAGGGGAGCATGCTAATTATTAGCATAGGCGGAATTACATAATAAATTCAATGCTCACTCGGGTGAACCTTCTAATTTTATTAATAACATAATAAATATTTGTTTTTTAGTGAACATTTAATCAGTTTAATTGTGTTGGGAATTTTTTCCGAGTTTTTGTATATCTAACGAAGCCATCGACAACTTTTACACGGTCATGGGCGGCTTTGTTTTCTCACAGTTTCTGTGCGCAAACGTAATTAGTAATAAAGATAATCAAGGCAGATATCTGTAAATGAAATACAAGTACTATAATTTCAAACATTTTTCTTATGAATGTAATGTAAAATTTCCTTCTCATGAAATCTTCCACCAAAATAAAGGCTGGGAAGTAAAGGGCAGGGTTGTAAATAAAATTACTTAATATAAGTTTTATATTATATAGAATCAGGGGGTGCATAATAAATTATAATTTAAAAAGCAAGACTTTTATTTTCATGGTTGGTTTAATTAGGAAAATATTTAACATTAGATTCATAAGAAAATATTTTGAAATCTTCATTTGTTTTATTTATAGATGTCTAATGTTTATTATCTTTATTACTAATTAAGAAGGCGACACAGGAACTGAGAGAAAACTAAGCAATCTGTGGCAATGAAAGAGGTGAAAACTGCTTAGTTGCATTCACAGGAATTTAAGAAAAATCAAAAGCAATGAATTATCACTTCACTGTAATTACATAGTTCAAACATAAATGAATATTTAAATCAATTTTGCCAAATAAAGGAAAGTAAATGAAAACTAGGTTTGGGGAGAGGGGGCATGGCCCTCATGCCCCCCTCCCATCTGGATCCTCCAATGTACTCTGCCTCTTCTCATAATTTGTCTACTGAGTGAATTCTCGTACTCAATGCATTACTACTTATGTGACAGCTGTCATTGTATGACAGCTCAAGTCTTCAAAGAAGTGCCCACCCCTATTGAATATTTGCTATTCACGTGTTGTGTTATGGGCTAGTAGTCCTTTTTAAAAATATTGTTTGTAGCATGAAGAAGTGTGGTACTGTATTGTTCATATTGTATGTTATCAAGTGAGTATTAGTGAAGACTGTTTTTGTTAAAATATTCAATTTATTGCAGTGTTCTAAGTGTGCATTTCATTTGCTGTTCTTAAGCAGTGAACATGCTACTTTTGTGTGGTTTTATTCAGCAGCATATTTCTTATTGCAGACCTCTAATGATTACTGTTATTGATTGTATGCTTTAATTTACTACCTTATATTATTCTTATTTCCTGTTAAACTTTTTTAAAGAAAGGGCAGATTATACATGCAATACTCAAATGTATCCAAATTAAAGTAAATGTGTATTTTGAATATCATGATTTGATGAAAATGCATGCTATACCATCAGTTAAGGGGTAATTTATTGTCAGATAAGCATGTCTCTCTAGGTGTTTAGGTGGTTAGGTACACTTATTAACATTTTATGACCAGTTGCCTGAATTTTCATAACTTTCATTCCACTTGCTCTTTGAGGTTGTTAAGACATTCTTAACTTTGGCAAAGGCTTGAAGCTGCAAATAAAATTTAAAATATTTCTAAACAATCGAGTTAGATTCATTCAAATACCTAATCACTACTACCAGCTCTATCAAGTTACCGAAATAACCAATTCTTTGAACAGGTTCATAGGCTTATATATTGCCCATTATGATATAAAAATCAGTGAGAGGGTAGTGACAATTATATATAAATATTTGTTTTTAACAACTAAAGAATTTTTTCAGTGATCACAGTCAAAAGTTTCAGTATTGTGTATCCGTATGAATATTGTGTTAATTTTGAATGCTACTTGATTATTTTTATTATATGAAATTCTGGATCAACCTTGAATCACATGTATTTTTGTCAATGGTTATTTTGTCTTTCAGGAGAGTATAATATAAGTGTATCCAAAAAGCCTTGATGCCCCTGACTAGAATTAAAGCACATCATCTAATGCGTTTTAGTAAATATAAGATATAATACTGCACTTTTATTGCTCATTTATTTCTTGTTTCTTTCTTAAATTAACAGTTGGAGACATGGACTTTGATGATCTAAATTGGAAAAAGACCAATTACAATCCTACTTCAGCTTACGGTAGAAGCAAACTTGCTAATATCCTGTTTACTAAAGAACTTGCAAAACGTCTTGAAGGTATGTGAACTATGTGTCTTGTTTGGTTCTACCTTAATCTTTTAACTGTCTTTTGCACTAATTGGTGATCTTGTCTTATTTATGACATGAGATCTGATATCTTTCAGGGACTGGTGTCACCACATACACACTGCATCCTGGTGCGGTGTCCACTGAGTTGGGGCGTCACTATGATACTGCATACTTTAAAGGAGTTACATGGCTCTTCAATAATGTTGCAAAATTTTTCATAAAAACACCCATGCAAGGAGCCCAAACCACCATATACTGTGCTGTTTCAGAAAAAACTGCTAATGAAACTGGTTTTTATTACAGGTATGCAGTGCCATTCAGAATCATCTTAATGCGCAGTATTTTTCATTTTGAATGTTTCGTGGTAGATTATATGTAAAGACAAAATAATTAATATCTATTGATTGGAATGGAAACAAAGTATTTAATTTTCAAAATAAAATATTGCCAATAAACAAATAATATAAAATGCAATGAGAACACCAAAATTAATGAAAATAATGGAAAATAAGAAAACAACATTTTAAGCAAATATGTTTTAATGCACTGAAATTTTCTATCTCAGTGGATGCAGCAAATACATGACCAGTCGACAAGCTCAGAATCTTGAGTTAGCAGAGAAGCTATGGAAAGAAAGTGTCAAATTAGTTGGTTTGGAGGACTGGGATCCTATAACAGCAACAGAAACACCTGACATATATCTTCATGCTACTGCAGTGAATAATGGACAAGAAAAGACTTTAATGAAGTAATGATATTTTTAACCATGAACTATATCATCATAAGTGGTAACAAGTAAATGTCACCCATTAAAGAGAGGATCTCAAAGAGGATTGATGGTTTCTTTTAGTGAAATAATGTTAAATGAAGTAATATATCGAAATTTTATTCAACAAGTTTTGAATTGTACAATTAAAAAAAAAAGAAGTTTGTGAATGAGATTGCTAAGAATGTGGCATGTTGAAGATCAATTCAAAAACAAAACTTATTACCTTAGGGGACACTAACTGTAACGATATCTCATCCCAATGTTTCAAAAAAATTTAAAACTATGTCATTGTGACTGGGGCTGTAACTAGATTCTGAAAGGGTCCCAGATCACCATGAGTTTTTATTGCTTTTTTTAAATTTAATTAGGAATAAACTGTATTTCTAATTAGATAAATAATTGCTTGATATGAAAAGTGAAACTATTGTTAAATAAGATCAATTTTTTACTTCCTATGAAGTAAACTCTTATTTGGGATCCCCTGAACTCAAGGTTTAGGGCCAGTGACCCAGTTGCTTATGGTAGAAATGTTTATTTTCGTATTAAAAAAAAAAAAAAATTTAACATCAAAAACACTTAAAACTGTATGTGATGATGGAGGAGGGAGGGGGAAGGAAGAAAAGGCTCATTTACTAACTGGAAGCAAACAAAGAACCATCTCATTTATTTGCTCAACAGATTAAGGGAAGCTAAGGTGAAAATTTCAAGTGAGATTGGGATTTTTAGATTGCGTCATTAATGGCAGCTTTTGAACATGAAAGATTTTGAAAATTAGTGACCAGTATATGGCAGACAAAATTTGGTAATTACATTGAAAATTATTATTAATTGTGACTTGATAAGGACTACATGTGTGTAATGTAAAGTGTATGTTGACTACTTGTGTAATACTTCCTGTATTACACATGTAGTCAAAACATCATCTAATCTTTAAAAAATAAAAAGTAAAAAAAAGCATTTTTAAAAAATAATTAGTAATAACAATGTTACACATTGTTACTGATTTTTGTCAGCTGTATATGAGTCACTAATTTTCAAAAAATTAGAACATTAAGATAGTGATGAAGATAAAGTTGCCAAATAAGAGTAATATATAAAATGTCAAGAGCGGCTCACTAAAATGATAAAGACCAGTCATACATCATTATTCTTGATGAGAATTTTTTTATGATATTATTATTATTTTTATTATCATTATTATCATTATTATTGCTATTGTTATTATTATTACTATTGTTATTATTATTATTACTATTGATATTATTATTACTATTGATATTATTATTACTATTGATATTATTATTACTATTGATATTATTATTGTTATTACTATTATTGGAAGAATATATTGAAATATTTTTGATATGTATAAAATATACTTAAAATAACTGATAACAATTTGTTTTAGAAAAATATTTGTTATGGTCACATTTTTTTTATGAACCTCAGATGTAACACTTCCTGTATTACACATGTTTAAGACTACAGATTACCCTTCTGCTGATAAAAAAATAATTAGTCAAAAATGATTGTGTTTAACATAAATCAAATATGAGAATCATTCAAATAAACTGAGAAGAAACAATACCGTAGTGAAATTCACATACAAATGAAGAACAAGAGTATAAACTGCCTTATAATTATTTTGGAAATGTCTTAATTTCTTTGCAATATATTTCTAGTTTATGAATTTCTATATATAACAATTTCCCAATATGAGAGAAAGGAGAAAAATGGTTCTCTTTAATTCAAAAACATAATTTTCTCAAGATAAATTGCCCATAAATTTGAAGTTCATATTCTTTAATGAAATGAAAGAATGTAGGTAAGCTAGGGAAAATATGACTGGAACAATAAAGAACAAGGAAGAAAATAAGAATAAATTAGTTCAAAAGAGATCAAAAGAATTGTAATGGAAAAATGGAGTGCTAAAACCTGAAGATATGATTAAATGGTAGGAAATCTTAATTGATTTTTAATGATGTTCCTTTTATGAATATCCCTCCAAGTGAATTTTTGACTTATGTTTACCAGATCACTTATGTACCTTGTCAATGTACCAAAGCAACTGAAAAGTAGGAATGTCAGCAACATATTTGAGAAAGGTACTAAAGTTCATTAAGTGGAGGTTCTATAGTTCCTACTGCATCAAGTGCTTCTGCCTCCATGCTATTTTATACTATTCTATCCTGTGTATCTTCTTGATTCTGGTTTCCTTCTACCATTGTTTTTTCTATGCTCTGAATCAGTGTTGATCATTTTTTCTTCATGTCTCTAGGTGATATAGAATATAGTTATGTATGATACAAGCGTTTAAAGTAACATTTTATTTCGCGAGAAGGAGTAGGAAAGGTGTGACACAAGATCGATAGGCTGAATGGCGCAATACCATGAGAAAAAATCGGGGTAACAAGGCCTGTATTTACCACAGAGCGCTCAAGCACTCCTCTTTGCCTACTACAGTATAATAATACTTCATGACTGGAACATGGTATATTTTTTATAGGTGCCACTGCTTTCGCGAATTAATAGATGTAGAAGTATCCGTCAGATGTCACTATTTTTGTTCCACCGCGAAAATCAAAGCAGTTAGTTATTTGCTTATTTTCTTGGCCTCGCTTTTAATTATGGGGTTTGAACCATAGAGGAGAGATACAAGAGATATATCTACTCTGTGGGTTTGAACCTGATAAACTGTGACTTGGCTTTTGTTTTTGATTATTCTGTTAGATTTAGGTTTTTTGAATTTTTTTTTTGAAATGAGCGATAGGCCTAGTAGCATTTTGGCAGATTCTTCCGAATCTTCCATGTGATCGGATGACGATTTAATTGCAATTTTGCCCGGGAATAGGACAAAGATCGATAACTATGTCGAAATGGAACTGCCTCAGTAGGGTAAGTAAGTTTTTTTCTTTTTTTTACTTCCGCACTTAAGTGTGAGCCACAGTATTGGGGTGGAGTTGGCGGAGAAATTCGAAGAAAGTATTTCACTTATCAGGCAGGAGGGAATGGGAAATTGTGTCCCTTTAAATGAATATTTATAACTTTGTGCTTTGTGGGCTACTAGACGGCAAGTTTTCGAGATGTGGCTGATAGATTTGGAATTACAATTAGTACCCTGCACAGGGTGCTACATAAAACAATTCATTTATTTTTTACAAATGTCATCGAATGTTATAACTTTGCCAAACATACAGAAAAAGAGAGACTTTTGGAATGTTTTGAAAGTAAAGGATTTTCAGTTCTTGAGGTAATTGATGACTCTTATATTAAAATTGACAAGCTTCAAAATGACCCTGATTCCTATTTAAATAGGAAAAAGTTTTGTTCTATTCATGTAAGTAATATGGACAATTTTTCTTATTGTAGTTTCATTATATCAATAAAATTTCATTATATAATTTATGAGGTTGAGTTATGAATAATTTATTCCTTAATTTCTTTGCTTGTACCAATTGTTTAACAACCTTCAGTTTTCTCTCTCTTTATAGCTGCAAGTGGTCTGTGACCATGAGAAGCACATTAGTGATGTGTTTGTTGGATTTCCAGTGTCAGTAGATGATACGTGTGTCCTTAGGAAATCACCTTTGTTTTTGAACATTTAGGATTTATGAGGAGACAACAATATTTTAAGGGGCATTGCATAATCGTGTGTTCCCAACCTGATGACTCTGTATATATAAAGAGGGGTTATGACACCAGCAGTTGAGTGACACAACAAATTTTTGTGTTCAAATAGATATTTGATTGAACATTGGTTTGGGCTGTTAAAGCAAAAGGTCACGTTTCTTTACCATGTAAAATTGGGGTCCTCAAAATGGTGGTGCACACCATTTGTGTATGTTGTGAACTGCATTACATAGCTCTTGCTGATGAAGTAGAACTGGAGGTAAATGTTTTGGAAGATGATGGGAACAACAAAGACTTGGCTGATAACTGAAATGGCCTCCAAAGATGAACATACATTGCCTACAATGTATTATATATAAATTTGTGAGATTATGAAAGTAATTTATTAAACATTTATTTATCATCATTTTCCTAATTTTTACTTCAAACATTTCTCCATTACCACAGTAGGTTCTTAGACCCAGTCAATTTTGTGGCAAAGATTTTGTACTCAACTGTTGTCTGTGTTGTATGAAGGATGGATTCTTGATGAAGAGAACTCATATCTTTGATATGAGTTTGTACAGAGTCAAATTAAATCTGTTTTATGTATGTTACTTGTACAAAATATAGATGCCAGTTTGAATGATATGAAGTATGTACAGAGTCAAATTAAATCAGTTTTATGTATATTACTTGTCCAGATTATAGAGGTCAGTTTTTTGTCCATTTTCCCTTCATGTGTAGAGCAAATGCTGAAATGGCACCTAGTTTTCCTTCTGGGCATAAAATTTATCTCTGCAAGTTCTCTTGAGCTCAGTGAATATATTAAAATAATTGTTCTCATGGCAGTAAGGAGTTTCCTGCATATGGGGCACAATCGATAGTAACTGAAACTGCAACACTTGCAATTGCAAATGGTTTTTATGAGATAGAAGGGAATATTTTCTTGCCAAAATGTTGCTACTAGTGCTAGCTGCTAGCACTAGTAGCTAGCTGCAAATGTTGCTAGTAGTGTAACGAAATGAGCGCGGGCCAGGAAACTTCTATCCAGGTCCCTTCATAAAATTAATCTTTAATCTCTTTTATCCAAGCCCTTTCTTTAAAAAATATCCACAATTTTAATTTTCTTTAAACACAGTAACAAAATTTTAGCAATGAATAATCCCATTCAAGTCTAAGTAACTGAAGCTTTAAAGAAAATGATACAAGTGAAGATAGTGCTATCAACCCCCTAATTCTAATTGCTATTTAATGAAAAGCATTGTTGGCTATGCTCTTGTCTCAGCATTATCACATGAGATGGCATGCTTCAAACCTAATCAACAATAATCGAAAGAAAGTTTGTGTGTCATTTTTATTTTTAAAAACGTAAAATGCAGGTAAACAATAATGGAAAAATCTGCCTTTATTATTTAACTTTATGAAATTGAGCCTGTAATAAAATGTAAATGAATTGTTTACCTTCATTGGTTTAGAAACAGGATTACATAAACTACCAAAGTGGAAAAAAAGCAAATTCTTATGAAAGATATTTTTAATCTTTTAATGAATCAACTATCACAAAGTATCAGAATAAGTAAAAAGTAATTTATATTGCTTACTACCGCAAAATCTTCTGCCTAAAAATAGGCCCCTCTGTTACCTGGGTCTGCCTGCATTGCAAGCCTTGAGGGCCCGAACGATACACCACTGGTTGCTAACTATTCATAATTGAACTTATGATTGTCAAGTGGTGTGCAAATTATTAGCTAAAACATATCTGCAGAATATTAGTTTTATTTTCTTAGGAGCTTGAATGGTTTAATGTTGGTTGTAAAAAAATTTAATTATAATTTACTCTTGAAAATAATTTTGTATGAATTTTTATTTAATGTACGATAATTTGAGTTTCAATTTTCAGTTATCTGGTCACTCTGGTTATGAAGTTGCAATTTAACAATTTGAAAGTTAAATATTTTCTTTCTTGCCTTATTCAAGATAAATTAGGATTAAAGCCTACCAAAGAATTGGAAAAGCTTCATAACAATGACTCTTGAATACGTTTCAAGAATCATGTATGAAATAGAAATGTAATGTAAGAAACAGAAAATATTGATTTGTATAGAATGAAAATACAGAAGCTTGATTAAGAAGTCAAAAGTAATGGGGATGCACTGCCGATGGAAAGTGAATAGTGTAAAGAAAAAATATGACATAGAAGAGGCAGTCCAGTGATTGACATGATTTGCTCAATAAAAATCAAGAAGAAAATTGATGAGATTGTGAGGACAAATGAAATGCCAAGTGTCTCAAACAAATTCTATATTATTTTATATTAAATTCTAATGAGATTTTGACCAACATATTTCAGATTTCCTTCCTTCTCTTTTCCTCTAAGTCATATCAGATAGGAGAACTTGGTTCACATTCCCCAGTCTATACAACTTTGTTCTTCCCTTTGAAGTAGCAGTAGGTGCAATTAATTTTGTCTTCCAGACTTTATTATTTAAATGTAACCCAGACACCTGCTTCTTTGAGTTTTGATAAATTTATCTTAAAGTGAATTAAATCGAAAACATTTTTTTTTTATTGTGAATAAGACTTATGTCTGACGTACCAATTGCCGTTTG